AATACTTCCAAATGTAACTAACTTAATTTGAAATTTAAGCATGTTCATAAATAATCAATGCAAATGTAAGACTAAGAAGTGAAATAAATCCTTGAAAAAATAAGGAGGGACATTACAAACCTACAAACTGTAGGACAGGATTAGCCTAGTACATGATATTTGTTAAAATCAGACTTTTACAAAATAAAAAAGCATAACATGAGTAAACATCAGTGTAAGGAAGTTACTTCATGAACTTTCATAAAGCAGAAAGCTTTGGACTACTTAACTAGTAAATTTTTTAGAACGAATGATAAAGATTGCAGACGTAAATTTAAGATTAGATAAGCTTTCCAATCTAACAAGATAAGAAGGCCTTAGAAGTCCAATTTCAAGCTAAAAACAGGTCAATGCTGTTTCGAAGGGATATAAAAAGGGTTCGAAATCAATTAAAGGATAAACCAATTAGCATGACTTATTAGAAAATGAATATACAACAACATCAAGTTTTTATCCCACTACATTGGATCGGTTACATGAATCATTTTTCTCCATTGTGTCCTGTTAAGAGTCAATTTCTCATTTAAATCTAAAAAAGTAAGATCATTTGATGAGGACATCCACCGTACATTTCGACATCGGTAGGATCGTAGATCGACAGCTACGATTCATAGTTTTTATTTGTGTTTTGGTGCATTTCTTATATTTATTTTTTAGTTTTCCATTTGTACCCCTATGAGGAATTTGTGTCATGTTGTTAGCTGAGGGCATTTGTGAATTTTACATTTTGTGCTTTGGAGGCCTATATATGAATGCCTAGTCTTTGTATTATTTTCTAATGATGAATTATTGAATGAAAAATTTTATATTCTTCGTTTTGATTTCTAAGTGAGTTCATGAGAGGAGAAGCCCGAGGAGGGTGGTTTGCAATACCTGACAGCCGCCGGTGGATTCCGAGCTCTCGGTTAGTCTTTTGAGTTATCTATTTTTCCTACGTCTCTTTCTCCTCACTACCTCCAATATTCCCCTTAATTTCCCCATACCTGATCCCCTCCCAAAGCCCATCCCGTCGGCCCCAGGGCCTCCCTAGCCGCCGGCCTCCCTCCCTAACCGGTGGCCACCACCCATCCCGCCGCCCCTTTTCCCAAGCCCCAAACCCGCCGGCTCCCTTGGCTCTATTGTGAATTTCAAATTAAAAAAAAAAAGGGGGAGTTACTACCTTCCTAAAATGAGCTCAAGACATTTAGGAAAGTTTCCAATTTGGATTTCAAACAAATTTTGAAATTCAAATACTTTCCAAAGGCTTGGACTTAATTTAGGAAACTTGCCTATTGAATAAAATCTAAAAATATTTCAGATTTGATCTAAATCCCCTAATTAATCCTTGGGAACCACATCATTAAAACAAAATCCCTCTCTCCCCTCTCTACATGGCCGGCCCCCTTCCCCTTGCTTCTGTCTCTCCAATTGTCATTAATTGCCCTCAATCAAGACTCTCTAATTACCTCCCATAATTCCTCACCTCCCATTAATCCTTTGAACTCAAATTCAAATCCTTCCCTCCAATTTCATTAAATCTGAGAATTAATTTCAGATTTTTGACTTTTCTCTCTCCCAATTTAATTTGATGCAGGACTACATGCATAATTCGGAAACTTGCACAAATTATTTTGAGATCAATTTCAGAATACGTTATTAGTGATTAAAACAACAAAGTAAAACTAATGAACGGTTACTTCCGTTTAGGCCAAACTACACAAAATGCTAAGCGGAATCAAAACACGTAGGAAAATTAAAGCAATGCATGCGGGATAGTTTCCAACATAATCCTTGTTTAACAACGAGATCCAAAAGCAAAGAAGTAACAATTCCTACGAATACTAGTGGATGGCAATAAGTAGACACAATATCTTGCTTTGAACAAATTCTCACGAAGAATTTGGAATTCGAAAGTAAAAGAATCAAGGAAGAAAAATCACCTTCACGGAGAGACGACGTAGAAATCCCACGTACCTTCCAATAATTGCTCCGTCCAAGGCTAGGTGAATTCTTCTCAAAGAAGCGTCTTGATATGCAAGGTCAAACTCAAGTTCCGGATTGGCCACTCATCATAAGCCAAGTGCTAGAGAGAACATCGTAGAGGAAGAGGGAGAGAAGAGGTGGACGGTGGAGGAGGGAGGCCGGGGTTTGTGAGAGGGGAAAAGGCTAGGGTTGGAAGGGGTTAGGTTTGGGTGGGAAAGAAATTGTTTTAACTAATAAATCTGAAATTATTTTCAGATTTGAGTAAGTTTTGAGGGAAAATAAATGGATTTGAAATTTGAACACCTTGCAATTAATCCCCTTCATGAAGCATTAAAGGAGAGGGGCCCATTGATAGGGTCGGCGGCAAGGAGAGAGGGGATTGGGGATTTTGGGAGGAAAAGTTATGGGTTTCCAAATCCGCTCCGTGTAATAAATGAGGAAAATTTCAAATCCGCTCAAATTCAAATTTGAAATTTGAAATAGCATGAAAAAACTTTCCAAATTTGACGTCGGACAAAAATGAAAACTTTCACTTTGAATTTCAAAATCTGAAATTCGTGGAGGTGGAATGGAGAGGGGCCGGTGATGGGTGGAAGGGAGGGGCGGTGGACAGCGGGGAGGCCGGCGGTCAGGATGGTGGTCGGCGGGATGAATGGGAGGGGGCGGTTTTTTCTTTGAGAAGATGGATTTTGGGAGGCGAGGTTAGGAGGGGATGATTTGTAGTGGTGGATGAATGGCCGGAGGTGGAAACGGAGGATAAGGAAAGAAGGACGAAGGGAAAACCAAGAGCCACCGGTGGAGACTGTTGGGTACGACGGGTGGCCTCTCCTAGGCTCCACCTAGCTCTCAATCTCTCTCTCAAGCTCTTACAAAAGAAAGCTTCAAGAAGACCAATGCAAGAAAATTTGTAATATCATTCATTAACCATCAAAAGTACAAGAAGAAGGCTATAAATAGCCTACTACAATGTCATAAAATAAAAGACTAAAATACCCTCGAGGGGCTACAAGACTCAATCCCTCAAGCAAGGGTAAAAAGGGAAAAGTGCAGAAATAAAAATACATCAAAATAAAATGATCATACTAAAATCAGAAATACATCGGGTAAATCGTGGCCGTAGATCTACGGCCACGTCGACGTAGACTTTCCAACTGATGTCCCCATCATAATTCTCATTCCCCCACTAAATCAGCCCCAATCCCCTCCTCCCTTGCCGCCTCTAGTCTTTAATGGATTAATTTAAATTTCAAATTAATTCCCTCCCATTTCACTTAAACCTGAATTTAATTCCAGGTTTCTAAATTTCCCCCAAGTGCTTCCCCACTCTAGCCGCTCCCCTCCAGCCGCTCCCCTCCAATTCCTCAAGCCAACCCAACACCATCCCCTCCAACCGCCACCTCCTCTCCCTCTTCTCTCCATTGGTGCTCCCTCATCTCCAGGCAAGAATACATGGCGGATCCGGAAGTTGATCACGAATTCGTTTACGATTCTCAAGAGGAAGTCGACATCATTCAATCACTGTTCTTCGATTCCGGATTTGGGTCCTAATGCACCGTCGAAGAATACGTGGAGCGTATTCTCTTTACTTTGGCGAACGTCATCGAAGAGCAACAACCTACAGGATCATGGAAGATCGCAGGACGACCACCCGTCTCTCCAACTCTAACCAACTCTTCATGGATCAAAACCTCTGGCATCCACTGTCTTGCAGTGGCATCACTAGGCTTGCTAACTTTTGTCCTCCGCTAAACCTACTTCCAAAGAACGATCGAGAGGGTAACTCTAAGGTGAAAGTTCTAATTGTTAAGTGGTGGATTATTGTTAATCGCATATTTGTTTACTATTTTCTTGCCATTATTTCGGATTGCTCTGTTAATCTAATGTGTAACTGCATGCTAGAACAAGTCAATAACTACGAAAACTGAAAATCCTAACTTAGTAAATCATTAATGTTATAATTTCATTGTGGAAACAAATTTCTTAATAAGATCCTGCAATTCCGTTGTTTGTTTCACATCATCATTTCTAATATTTTCTAACCAAGTCTTCTTAGGTTCTACCTTTCTTATCATAAGCCAAATCTAATACATCTACTTTCCTAACCAGATCACCAGAAGGCCGTCATTTTTTGTAACCAAACCATCAAAGGCGACTCTTTCTAATCTTATCTTCCACTGGAGCTACTCCAACCTTTTCACATATATGCTCATTTCATATCTTGTCTCCTTGTCTCTAAGAGTAAAGCAACTCTTCCATCTGAGCATCCTCATCTCTGCAACACTTCATATTATGCTTCTCTTTTAATGCAAGTCTCACCACAATCTTATATAATTTTTCCTTAAGTTTGAGGGAGACTTTTCTATCACACAACAAGCCTGATGCATTCCTCGGCTTCAACCATCCAACTTGAATAAATATAATGCAGTAAATTATAACAACATGGTGTCCCATCCTATCAGAGAATATTCAGCATATACCAAATAGAGATGCATCTCCACTTGGAATGCCTACACTTGAAAGATGAATATAACTAGAAGTGCAGATCCAATGCAGAGTTTGGGAAATGCAACCATGGCTAATTAGCTTTAAGTCATGTTGTCAAAAACAATTTTTTAACAAAATATAGAGCGAGAAATTATGGCTTCAAAAAGGTAAAAAAATTTAATAACTGGACATGGCAATGTCCAACGTAAACAAAATTCGAGAAAACAATAAATAAAAAGATGAAAGATAATTGAAGAAACAACAAATTATTAGAAATCCTAAAAATTACTCAGAAACTCAAGAAACACAAGTACTTTAAAAAAAGACCAAAGACCTACTTAAATAAATAAAATGAAGATAACGAAAACCCAGTAGACTAACATCTGCAAATACTTGCTACCGAAAATGATATTATACGTGTAATGTGAAAAGTAACACGTGAATAAAACAGTCAACAATCCAATCATCAAAAAGATGCATGCCATTAAAAATAAGAATATTTGAAAACAACTCACATATTGCAATGTTGATAGCAAAGCACGCAAGTTGCCCTCTTTACCAGCAGCCCAACGCTTTATCTCAAAATCCAATGTTTCAGCAATTCTCTGAGATCAGCATAGAACACAATAACCAAAATGACAACAATATGGCAAGACAGACTTACCAGATTAATCTAGGTCTATTAGCATTAAAATTGCAAGTATTCCCTTGAAAAGACGCTAGTTTTAAAATTCGTGAAATCCTAATGTGACAGTCATCTGACTAAAAGGCTTACATGTCTTTCTGCCTGGTCCCTTTGCATTTGCATATCACGTTCATTTTTCTCAGCTAGAGCTTTTGCCTGGATAGAAAACTCTGGATCACCAATGTATTCTTCCATAATATAATTTAGTGGCTAGTAAAGATTACATATGCAGGTCTCTACTCTATATTAGATTAAGTAACAGTCAGAGAACAACAATACAAAAAGTGCATACCGCTCTCTCACGTGTCCTCTGATGTCTTTCAAATCTAGCCCGCCTTCTCTCTTCAGTCTCTCCGTCAACCTCTTGAAATTCTCCATGTGATGGAGAAGCTGTAAAGAAAGGGTAATCATACATGTAATTCTTACTGCTAATAGTGATGTTGAAAGAATAAGAGGTAGCTGAAATGCGAACTCCATTTAAAGGAGGAGAATACCTCCAAAAATGGAAGACAGGTCATCTGCAATATTAGTTACAGAAGACGCCTTCTTCAAGTTGGCATTTGAACTAGAGGAACTACTCCTTGTTGCTTCCGGAGCTCCTCTGCTTTGGAATTGTGAATCAAATATATTGTCCTGAAACACTGCCAAATAAGTAACAGCGTAGGGTTATAAAACTGATGTAGAAGCTAAAAACCCCACATAGGCTATTACCGAGGTTGCTGCCCTTTGCTTAGGTGCACTGCTAGCTCGAGACCCCATGCCAAAAAAAGCCTCAAGATCATCATCAGTATTATTTTGCTTTACTTTTGCTGCAGCAGCTGCCCTCTCTTTGGCTTCAGCAGCTGCTCTATCCCGAGCCTCAGCAGCAACTCTCTCAACAGCAGCTCTTTCTGCTGCTCTCTGCCGTGCCTCTGCTACAACTTTCTCAGCAGAAAGCTTTTCCCTTGCTTCTGCAGCAGCCTTTTCTCTTGCCTCGGTGGCGGCGGCTTTTTCCCTTTCTACAGTTGCCTTTGCCTTTTCAGCTCGTTCCCTTGCCTCATTTGCCGCCCTTTCACGTGCTTCAGCAGCTACCCTCTGAAATGCAAATCGTTCTGCCTGTTGACGTGCTTTATCAGCGGCAGCCCTCTCTGCTTTTTGTCTAGCTTCTGCACCTGCTCTTTCCCGTGCCTCTCGTGTGGCCCTCTCCACAGCCTGTCTAGCTCTTTCCCTCTCTCGCTCCCGTTCCAATTCTCTTTCCCTTTCAAGCTTCCTTTGTTGCTCCTCTTTTTCCTCCCTTTCCCTCTGTAAACGCTCCCGATCCAATTGCTCTTGTTTCTCTCTATCTTCTGTGTATTGAGGTTCTGCTGTTGGGGTTTCAACATTTTGATAAGGTACATAATCCTTATTTCTAGCAGATTTTGCATCCCGCTCCCTCTCCCTAACCTCCTTAGCATGCCTAAACTTTGCCTCAGCTTTTCCCATTGCATCCCTCAAATTTGCATCAATATCCTCCTCTGAGGGAAAAACTTCAGCATGTTCATTAGGATATTTCTGTGGCTTAACCTTGGTAAAATCTTCCAGTTCATCTATCGAGGAAACATTAGATCTCTTTACGGAGTTACTGGAATACAAGTAGCTTTGATTAGGCTGTGTAAATGAATCAGCGTCCTTTCTCCTGCCACTTATACCAGGTGAAGCAGGCTCATCTATCCTGACAAATGGTGACTTCTTGCCACTAATAGGAGGTGGTGGCCTAGAAGGTGGTGGAGCACTAGTAGGTTTTGTGAAAAGAGGAATTTCTGAAACAATGAGCCACAAATCATCAACGGCTTCAGGATGTTGATGGGATTTTGAGGATTGTTCTGATGCAAAGTTTTGCTCAAAGGTACTCGACGCTCGAGAACTATTCCTACCAGCAGAATTTTGAGATTCAAAAGCTCTGGTAGGTTGACTTTTAAATGTAGTATTTTCAATCGTATCAACTGGAGATCTCTGATGTGTCTCCTCACTAAAATTGAATCCAGAGCTAGTGTTCTGATTGACTTCATAAGGAATCTTATCCTTTCTTGTTTCGGTGACCCCAGATGAAAATGAGGGAACCGACTTCCCAAGACCATCAAAATCATCAAAAACAGCCCCACCAACAGAAGAAGAATAAATATTTGTGCTTCCAGAGCCCATAGACAGGCTGATTTGTTCCAAGGGATCATCAAAAGACCCAGAAGATTGATGTACTGAAGTAGAATGCAAATCTAAAAATGGATCACCTGGTATGGCGGCAGTTGCTTTGGCTGGTTTTTGGTGGTTTTCCACTGGCTCTTGCCTATAAAACCAAACATAATTTTTAAGCAAGGAAACAGGGGTAAGCGAGGCAACACGGGAAGAACTTCAGAAACATGGACCTCACTATAACTATAAAAGTTCAGTTGATGTTATTCAAGGAAAAAGGAAAGCATGTAACACAGCGAATTACATTATAATATTCTTTGTGAAAATATTAAACTATAATACCGTTTAGAAGTACAACTCATCCAACAGGCAGATCAACAGATATAGAGTACATTATGAAAAGAATAACAATAACAACAACAACATCAAGCCTTTATCCCACTACGTGGGGTCGGCTACATGAATCTTTTTTCTCCATTGTGTCCTATTAAAAGTCAAATTCTCGTTTAAATCTAATAAAGAAAGATCATTCCTAATATTTTCTAACCAAGTCTTTTTAGGTCTACCCCTACCTTTCTTAACATAAGTCAAATCTAATACCTCTACTCTCCTAACTGGGTCATCGGAAGGCCTCCGTTTTATGTGACCAAACCATCTAAGGCGACTCTCTCTAATTTTATCTTCTACTGGAGCTACTCCAACATTTTCACGTATATGATCATTTCGTATCCTATCTCTAAGGGTAAAGCCACTCATCCACCTAATTATCATAATTTTTAAAATTAAACCAAATTTTATAACAAAGCTTCTTATTTTTAATCTTTTCTTGCACATTAGGATTCCACCAGCAACTATTTTTACTATTAGGAGCTTTTCCCTTTGATACTCCAAGGACATCTTTTGCAATATTCTTAATATCACTAGCCACTTTTTTCCACATAATATTAGCATCCTCATGCACAGACAAAAGCTTGAGATCTAAAATCTTATTTCCAAAAATATTTTTGTTAATATTCTTTAAATGCCCCCATCTAATCCTAGAAAATTGTTTTACTTTATGAAAAGAATAACAATAAGACTAATAAATCTCAGTAAATCCTACCTCTTATAATTATGACGAAAACCTTTGAATCAAATCACAAACAAAATTATCAGTCCAAAAACTGGAAAAGATAGAGCATCAAATATAAACCAATGAAAATAAAATTAAAATAGGAAATAAAAAAGTTTATTTAAATTAAATTATTGTCTAACAAGTGTAATATGTATATTGCATCTGTAACAATGAAATGACTGAAGTTTGGTATCACTATATGCAGAACAAGACCAAATAATCAGAGCATCATTGTACAGGGCTTTCATATACTGTTATTATTATTATTATTATTATTATTATTATTATTATTATTATATATCGCAAACTATAACATTAACAATATATTAAAGTATAGTTCTTTTTTTTTAGTATCATAGTCATTCTTATCACTGTAAACGAGGCACTATGGGCACTATGGGATAAGAGAAGATCTCTAGAAACATGAAAAAAAAATGCATTTGTAAAAGTCAATTAAGTGCTTGATAAATACAGATAAAGGTATTCCTAAGGACATCCATGGTCAACAGGAGTTCCATAAAGAAATTATTTAAGTAAACATAAAACCTTCAATCCAGCTAGAGAAGTAGTTGAAAGTTTATTTTTGAAGGTATTGCGTTATTTCAGGGAGCATTAATTTTTAATTGCATAAAGCAACACACATTCTGTAATATATATATATATATATATGAATAAAATTTGTTTTTCGATGATTTTTCCTTTTTATTTTCCCTTACCACAATTTCTTCCAACTAATATGTTGGACTTGAAGGTTTTACTAATCCAAACCTAGGATAAGATACACAAGAAAAACACACAAATCACAAAAAAAAATTACAATTCACAATTTATTAATTTTTAATTTAGGCAAACATTAAACTCATTTAATACAAAAAAAGTACAATTCATCAATGTCAGATCTCCTCTGGTTTAAACACAATATATTCATCCAATTTAAAACTGATAAACGATCCTCACTGCTCTTCTGAACACAAAAAAATGGTAGCTACCCTCAACTGAGCTCCATATCAAAAAGCAGATAGCATCGCAGCATGTGCTATCTTGAATCAAACAAGTATATTAGTCCTAAAAGCCAAGAAAAATGGGAAAGCAGCCCCGTTTCTCTCAACAATGTGAACACTAGACAAAGCTCAAAGGCCAGTTAGTCAACATTAAGCTACAGATTTATGTTCAAATGAAAAATTCACCACTCAACCAGGCAAAAGTTAAGAAAAATCGTTTTAGCTAAACAACCCAAACATCAATTTTAAGGGGTGCCAGCTGGGAATGGAACACTTATCTAACAAATAATCACCTTATGCGTCTAGAGAATTACCTCTTCTGTGGCTGACTGCTCCCACCAAAGCCCGGTAACAATTCCTCAAAAACGGAAGAATCTTTATCCTTCTTCTCCAATGATCGCATTTCCCCTGCACTCTTGGAATCCGGCATTCCCTTTCCGAGGTTCTCCAACAGATCTTCGTACGGAGGAGACGAAACACTTTCCGCGGCAGAACCCAAAGAAGCGAATACGTCAACGTACTTGGCTGACGAGGAGCTCTTCACCCCAGGAACTCCAACGAATATGTCGTCATCATACACGGGCTTATCATAGACAGGCAAAGACGACGATTTCGGCGGCACCGGATCTTTAAACCCCTCGAAGATTGAGTCGATCGAAGGTGGAGAGGAAGACTTTTGGGGTGGCCCTCCAAACACGTCTTCGTAGGAAGAAGGGACTCGATCGGCAGATATACCCCCTCCACCACCGCCACCAAAGAGGGGATCATCAGGAGACGAGCCGGATCTTGGCTTGTTCCAGGTCGGGACGGCAGAAGGGGTTCGGACGGATCCGACCGGAACGGAGGATCTAGAAGCCGCCATGGGAGCAGACTTGCCCTGGGGCCTCATGCCAAAGTCCCGGGCGAGGAGCCCCAAGTCCTCCATACCGATGGGAGAACAGAAGATAAAGCAAATTAATTCCTAGATCAAGCTCGCGGGAGATGCGGCGGCAGATTCGAGATCGCCGGGATCCGGCCGAAGTACACCGTACAGAGAATGGAGATGATGAGAGAAGGCGAGCGAAGAAGGGAAAGGAACGAATTTGGGTCTGGGCGAGTTGTTGGGTTGGTGGTTCGGAGCATTTCAATTCCGGATTTACGGGTTTACCTCGACGCGGGTCACGCGGGTCCAGTGGGCCCGACTGTATTCTCATGCGGTCCCATTTACGATCCACGGCTGCGATTTCTAGGATTGGAGTTTTGGGCAAATTATTCTCTGAATCTCTTTCAGAGATCAATTAGAATATGTCATGCCATTTTAGTTTGGTATCTTGTTCAATATCGAGTTCGATAGTATTGACATCACGTATTTTGGTTGGTCTCCAACTAATGAACTGTGTTCGACGTCCGCACTGAATAATTTCTCAAAATCTTTTTATTTAGGATAAATTATTAAGCGCGGAGTTCAGTGTGACTTTTACAAAATGCGTATTATATATATTTTATGTACAAATTATGTGGCTTGACTTGATTGGAGTCTCGATACAAGCTATATATGGATTACACATGCAATAATTTCTCGCTATTTAGACCCAACATTTGGGGCCACTTCAAACGTTCACGCCCAAGTTTTTAACAATTTTTTCAGAGGATATAACGCCCTGAAAAAAAAAAACCTAAATTCCTAAAGGAGAACCTTAGTGCGCTAAGGATAATTTAGGGCTTCAATGCACTGCTTAAGTAGTGCCTCTTAAGCTTCTTTTGGGACAACTTTATATAGGCTTCATTTGGGATAGCTTTCTTACAGCTTTGTAAAGCTATTTTTTAGTTAAAAAATCTTCTGAAAACTAGAAAAAAGTTGTCGTCTAAAGCTGTGATTGTTTTTTTATTGCTTCTTAAAACAACTTTCTAGTTTAAAAATTAAAATTTTTATACTTGAAAACCACTTTAAGAAGCAGTAAGAAAGTCGTTCCAAACGAACCCTTAATCTGTTGGTTGGAAGCTTTGACTATCAACTAAGGAATTTTGATTTATATTTTGCTTATATAATATCAAAAATAATAATTTTTTTTCTAAATCAATTTTGTAGTATAATTTAAAAAAAAACGAAAAAAAAATAGTAATAAAAAATATCCCAATCGAAGTATTAGTTTTTTATTAGATTGGCCCAATGGAAGGTTTTAGATGAGGTTCTACTATACGGAGATGGATACACTGTCAACCAAGTGCGCTTCCTTTTTTCGGTACCTGATTGGTTGGATTTGGTGTTTGGCGTTTGTTTCGGAATACAGGATGAGTAAAAAAAATATGGATTACAGCGAGTGGATTATTTTATTGGCTTTTAATGAACTAAGCAACGTGATAAAAGTGCTAATAATAAGTTATTAATTTTACTACTAATGGAAGAGAGATCAACAGACGAAATAAGGATAGAATTGCCATTTTTATTAAAATTGATTGACTTTAATGCTCTATGCTAAGATATCTTCTGCTTTATAGTAAATGCCCAAACACATTTCCAAGTTATCGTATTTTAATTCGATTGGTCATTTATTACAATATGATATTTGGCCATAAATTATGTTGAAAATAGTAAGAAAAATGAAAATTAATTTTGAATTTATTTAGTTTTTATTCAATGGTAGTTGGATGCAATTGTTGTGGGCATGCATGCAGGGGGGCACAACCATCCTTAATTTTAGGGTGTGCAAATTCATTATATAAAAATTTTTAAAATATATATAAGCTAAAATTTTAAGCAAAGTCTTATATTTCATTATAATTTATGAATTAAAAAATAATTACAATTTTTACATAGTACTTTAGATGTTCTAATAAAGTTGCATAATGGCTTCATTGAAAATATAGTCAAATACTTCATACACAATGTATGGCATTAGACAATCATTGAATCAATCATCACCCATTTTGTTAGGCAATCAATGCTAAATAATTTTTAATAAAAAAAAACTCTCTCTACTATAGCAGTAACAATTTATAAAGTTAGTATTAAAACAATAAGTTTTGTTGTGGGCTAGAATATACGCTGCGATAGAGTTAGAAAATATTCGTCTTAGCGTTGTACTGATATTCAGCACACAAGCAGAAGATAAAAGAACACCAAGATTTTTACGTAGAAAACCCTGGAAAGGAAAAAAACCACGGGGCCACGCCTAGTTGAGAATATTTCACTAATATTTGCTTGAGATACAAGAGGCTGACACATCCGTAAAAGTTAGGATGATCATATTACAATGAATCACTTCTGGATTGAAATCCAATTACAATGTTGGGCAGAGTTCCGGCATCACTTGGAGACCAGGCAAAATTCCTGCATTGTTTGAAAGTCGGACAGAATTCTGGCGTCATTTGGGCGGAGTTTCGGCGTCGGGCGAACTCCGGCGTTACTTGGGCTGAATTTCGTCGTCACGTGGAAGTCAAGTAGAATTCTGGCGTCTGGCAGAATATCGGCGGTGGTTGAGGAGAAGTTTCTTCCATCATATTCTTCTTCTCTTCTTCGTCTTCTCTTCTTATTCTTGCTTGGAACCCCTCTTAAGAGAAATGAGGGGCTATTTATAATTTTCTTAGAGTGGCATGACCCATAAATAGGGGGAGGATCAAGGGCAAATGTGGAGTGGATTAGATGGACGGTCGATATTGAATCCCTTGATAGTGAACCGTTCGTCAGACATTTGAAGGTCTTAATGATATTGGAATTTGGCGATATTGATTTCATTGGATTCGACTCATCAAGCCGCTCGATTTGACTATAAGAATGTCAGATTTGGAAAATGTTTCGTAATCCAAATTATGGATTGAACCTTTCAAATATGCTTCGGGTCTTTGATTTGGACCCATTTGGACTCGGATTGAGTTGAATTTGGTGTCATTGGGTTCGTATTTCCGAGGCGCTCAGTTCGACTATAAGTTTACTAAAATCAGAGTCTAGATGATCCCATATTTAATTTTTGAAGTTTCCAACTTGATTTTGCCTCGAGATTCGTGTCCGGTCAAGATAATTTTTTGATGACATATCAAGTTTATAAATCAAGGGATACACAATATTCTTTTTTGCATTTATAATATATTTTGCAAGAACATCAATTCTAGTCAAAGATATGAACTTGACGCTTGGTATGCATATTAATAATACAAATATATAGCTGATATTCAAGAGATATAAGATCAACCATAAAAAAATCTGTTGGATATAACTTTGCAAGATAAATTAAATTTCTTCTTATTTTTAATTAAAATTAATTTTAAATTAAAGAGTTTAACTTTTTAAAAATAATGATATATTATATTAATATTTTTAATTTGAAAAAATATAAATATTTCTAAATAAAAATAGATAAAAAAAAGGATTAATAATTTAAAAAAAGTAAAAGAAAAGGGCAGCGGGATACCAACGTGGCGGCTCCGGACTTGAGGTTTAAATCGCTGGCGGCGGCGTCAATCATTGGCAATGCAATGATTGCGCCGCTGCACAATCATTGTCGCATGATTGATACGGTGGCGGGACCCATGCAATTTTAACTTAACCGAGCTAGCATCCCGCCGCAACCATTCCATCTCCTGCGGTTCTGAACAAATGGTCCATATGGCATCGGACCAAGATCCAGGCAACGGGAGCATTCTACGGTCAGAGAGCGCCCGCGGTATGGTAAGATCTACACTGGTTATCAAAGCATCAATGGTCCATATGTTGCATGACTCGAAAGCATGTTAATATGAAACCCTAAAATGATAATCGTCTTATTCTCACAATTAGATCAACCAAATCAAATGAAATTTTAAAAGTAGATTACATGCATGAAGATCATTTGTGCATTCGTGGGGGACTGTTTTCACGATCTAAAACGCACTATGTGTAAACCTATTTTGACTCTAGATGTTATAACCTAGGGTTAGGGTTTTACCTCAATCAAATGGATGGATTTAGTAGATATTGGGCTTGTTGCACTTGTTGATTGTCCATGGTCCCAGTTGTAGAAGGAATCGAAGTCTCAAACGCTTTTGATCAATAGGAATCCGCTTTGGAAGTTATTTGGCTTATGTTCATTGGAGATCACCTCGCTAGCGGCTTAAACCGATGAGGCTTGACTTGGAGGAGGTGGAGGGAAGGTGTGGGAGCTCAAGCACAAAAGATCTCAGCTTAAGAGGGCTTAGAGTGAGAAACAATCCAAAAGTCCCTCTACACAAACCCTAAACTCCCTATTTAATCCCTAAACATTCAATGGAAAGTCTAGATCACATCTAGGGTGAATTAAGAGGGAATTTGGCTCAATTGGCTGGGATTTAGGTCAAGGCATTGATTGAAATGAATTAAATGGATTAATTAGGCTTAATATGACCCAAATAGGTCAAATTGACCTAAGGGTTGACTTGGGTTGACGAAGTCAAGGGTTGACTTGATCAACATGGTCAATTAAACTCAAGATGTAGGGGGTTGAGTCCAAGGCATGAATAGAGTTAATTTGAATTGAATTTAGGCTCATTAGGGCTTAATATGTCAACTTGGGTTGACCCAGGGCATGGGTTTGAGCTCAATAAACTTGGTTTGACCCATGGAACCCAATGGAGGCATGAGATTGAGCCAAGGAAGCTTGGAATGGATTTGAAATTGAAAGGTTAATAGGTTTGAGACTGGGTATGTGCTCAGCAGACTAGGCTTGACCCACTGAATTCAAGGGAGGTGGTCTCAGGGTCTAACTTAGTCAATTTGACCAAGCAAAATCCTTTGACCAAGGGTTTAGCTGAAAATAAGGTCAACAATCATCACTTTTAATGCAAAAATTGCAAGAACCTTTCAAACAATAATTTAATAGTAGCCAAAATTGGAAACTACACGAGAAGGAGAGAATGAATATACAATTTCAATAAAAAACAAATTTAGTATGGAGATTTTTTGAATTTTTTTTGTACATAGAATCCCCTCACACATACAAACAATATCCACTTTGAAGAACTATCATATCCTATGAGAGAGAGAAGAAACTAACCTTTCTAATATCCAAAGCTTGATGGTTCTATAACAGGAAACACCAAGCCAAATGTGATTGGTTGTTAGAGATTCTATTAGCCATCAGAGCCTGAAGAGGAGGATGATTATTAAGAGAAGTAGGAAGAAGAGGAGGGTTCAATTGAAGAGTTTTCATAGGCTCGCAAGAATGAATGGAACCCCGTTAGAGCCGATTGGTCGTTGGGCAACAAGAGGAGCTTTTGGGTTTTGTACCTTGCGGCATATGGGGAGGGGTGCAGCTTGCACGATTGGAATGAGGAGAAAAGTAGGCATGTTAGGGGAAAAAAGGTTTTTTAGCAGGAGAGGCAAAAACTCAAAATTTCCCCCTTATAAGTTTGTTTTTTTAGTGTGCGAAATTTCCCAAACTAACTTACACAAGGTTCGGCTTATACATGTATATAATATAGAGTTAGAGAAGGATTTTCATCTAATATTGCACTAAAAGTAATTTTGATAATTTACTTTCATTATATGTGTTGCATGCAAAAACATTCAGAGTAGTAAAGAGATGGAGAGTTTGTCATTTTAGCATTTGTACGAATATCCATGGCTCACACAAATACAAAATAAGGGTCAGAATTATAAGGGACATTGAAATTTATTTGAAAATTTTAAAAGAAAAAAAAATAAAGTATGGTCAAATTAAAATGACTCCACTAGTGTTTAGCATTGGTTACAAATGATGTCACTATTCTAAGGAAGGCATTGATTTAACAAAGTAAACATATACTATATAAAATATATTATGTGGTTGAAGTTGGAAGAGCCATGTGGTGTATGAGATATCTTCAAGAAATCATTTTCTTGTTTTTTTTCCTACTTCTTTGACAAGAGGAAATCATAGGCAAAGAAGTTAGGTACAAAATTTTGTGTTTACATCTAGAGTCAGAGTTGGTGTCGATGGCATACATCAATCTTATAAATAATGACTTGCATTGACATCATTAGCAATAGTAAGTGGTGAAAGTCAGTAGAATTTGAAGTAGAATGACACCAATAAAAAAAAATTTATATTTCAAAGGGTTGTAGTTGGGATATGGTGGTCAAAGGATAGTAGCCGGGCAATGAAGATGGGAGGACCATAATCAAGTGACAACTGTTAAAGGATTATAATCGTGCACCAAGGTTGACAGATTATATTCTGCAATCATATTTATGCAATGTTGGTGGGAGGACCATAATGCAATGATGGTGGGAGGACCATAATCTACATTCTATTCTGCAATCATGTATTGTAGTGTAATTATTGTATATTCATTTTATTGATAAATGAAAAAAGATTTTTGTAGATGAGTTGATATTCAATATACTGAAAGTTATTAGTAGTTATGTGATTATTATTTAATTTAAAGTTCAAAATTGAAGGAACGTTCTAAAAATTTTCTAAAACTTAGATCCTCATATTTATCTGTTGTTAATCAACATAATAGGATATTTCAAATTTGTGAGTCTTATCAAGTTGAGTTATGACATAAGGAGATTGATTGATGTAATGTGAAACAAATATGAACTAATTTAAAAAGAAATTCAAAATACTTAAAATTTAAAATTATTTATATTTTTAATATGAAAAATTACGTATAAATATCCTGATGTAAAATATATTATGTTAGGTTTCGAAGTCCGTAAATTTATATTAAAATTGACACAATTAAAGTAGCGATATACTTTATTTAAACTGTTTTTTTTTTTGCTAACTTTCCTAAAAAAAACCTTTTTAGCGGCCGCCCTGATTTTCTTCTTTTTTTTTTTTAGCAACAAGCCTGGATGGATCAGAATTTAACTTCGAGTTTAAACTTCCAAAAATTTCTTTTTGACCCACCCGCGTGTCAGCACAAAATCAGAAGAAAAAAAAAACCGATCTAAACCGTCTCGATTCAGTTACCCGAATATGCCGATTGATCGACGGTTGCCAAGCAAGATTCGAGATTTTTTTTTTTATATATAAAATTTACGAAAAAGGCGGAATAACCCTACACCTCCTCTGAGTCTGTCGGTATTTTTTTGCTATAAATTGGAGGTGTTTCGTCTCTCCTTCTTCATCTCCTGGTCTCACGCCTTCCCTCGTATTCTTCTATCTCTCTGATTAATTGCGCTTGTTGATACTTTTTTGCGAGGAACAATGCTAGTCTACCAGGATCTCCTCACTGGTAAACTTCGAACTTCGGTTATCTTCATCTTTTTTTTTTTAATTTGATTTGGTTATGTTTTTGTTGGTAAACTGCTTCCTAAGGGTTTTTCTTTACGGTTATTTCTTAATTTTAGTCTGTGCGTTGATCATATGAACTCATGAGTTGTGTGTACTGAGTGGAATTTCAATTGAATTTGCTTTTCGGTTTTTTATTTTTCTTTGGTTGGTATGGGTTAACGTAGCCTTGCGGATACTAGTATAATAATTGTAGGGCTATGCTTGTTTCCCCTAGAAACTTGGTTTTGTCTTATAAAAAGCGCCCCTTGGATTAATTAAATCTGTCATAATCTGATGCCCATGTGTTGTTTCTGGTGTTGATCGCCCTAACCTGTCTTTGATTTGTTCTTGTAGTGATTTTTTATGATTATCTCATATTAGAATTATGTTTTTAGGGTTTAGGGAAATGTGAAACTCGAGAAGCAATTTAGAAAGAAAGTTTGAGGAAAATTTCGTTGGTTGTTGCAATTGCGATTCGCAAAATTTCAGGGTCTTATGGCCTACTTGGATATGAGGTTGTGCCTTATACATGATGATGCTTTTCCCACCTTTTCATTAGATTGTATTCGGGCATCTCCAACCGAAAAACAAATTTTCCACTCTAAAATGCAGTAAAACTTCAAAACGTCGTAACTCATCTCTAATAGAACTTCATTTCCTTTTTCTTTCGCGCGTTTCCTGCAAAGGTAACAATCCCTCTCCTCTTTCGTGTGCTTTTCTCCTCTTTAGCGCTCTTCTTCGACAAATTTGACTACCCAATTTTTTAGCGTAGGTGAATAGTCTGACGGTAATATTGGTGTCGCACTATTCACCTACCAAATTTTAACGTGAAATTTGGAGTTTGAATGCAGTGAATGGCGGATGACATACGGTGATATGCAGGTCGGTTGGAGATGAACTTATAAAGTATAGTTGCATAGGCTTTTTCTCAAAACTAGAGAAACGAGAGCTATAATGCTTCTATAATATACGTAATTGTAGAAGAATTTAAGGATAAAACTTTCATATTATTCATAACCACATAAAGTTTTTCTCAAGAGGGTGACACAGCTACTTGTTCATTCCACCACTGCTCATTTCAGAGTTTTCAAAGCATATTTTTCCTTAACTCTAGTTCATGTAGTTAACTAGATGGAATATTAAGTGCTTTCTTTAACAAATTATAAAAGCATCTTGTGATAGTACACATGGTTATCTATTTTGCTTATCTTAATGATATTAATTTGATTTTTTTTATAATGATTGTTCCTGTATCATTTAGGTGATGAACTTTTGTCAGACTCTTTTCCTTATAAGGAAATTGAGAATGGGATGTTATGGGAAGTCCAAGGAAAGGTAATAAAATGTGATTCTTTTTTTCTTTTTTGTATTAGCAACATTGAGGTTTATATATACGGAACATTATTATTTCTTTTGGATAAACAGTGGGTTGTTCAAGGTGCTCTTAACGTGGACATTGGTGCAAATCCTTCAGCCGACGGTGCTGATGAAGATGAAGGTGTTGACGATCAAGCCATCAAAGTCGTTGATATTGCAGACACTTTTCGTTTGCAGGTTGTTTCCATCATCTGAGTTTTCAAAATTCTTTTAAATTTAGTCATTTGGTAAATTTAAACCATATTTATATATGAGTCAGATTTTTATGTTGCTAACATTTATGACAGGAACAACCTTCATTTGACAAAAAGCAATTTGTCACTTTTATGAAACGTTATATTAAGAATTTAACACCAAAATTGGAAGAAGAGAAGCAGGATTTGTTCAAGAAGCATATCGAGAGTGCTACTAAGTTCTTACTCTCAAAGTTATCTGACTTGCAATTGTAAGTATTTATGACTTCCTTATTTGTTTTGAGTAGTATTTGTTAGTTTGAGTATATTATCACTGGTTTTTTTCCTAGCATAATTTTGTTTTGGTTAGGTAAAAAACTGAACTTTCTTTTATGAAGCCCCATAAGTTTATTTATTATATTTGCCAATGTTAAAAAAAAAAAAAAAAATTCCCGGCATCTAAGGGTTAGTTTAAGGTCTTGTTTGGTAGCAGAACTCCTATAAAATTTGGGTGAGAAACGGTTATTTCAAAACTGCATTTTGCTAACGGAGAAGCAAAAACAAAAAGTTTTGAAAATTGGTAATATAATGGAGATTTGAAAAACACATTTTTACGAAAGTTATGCATCCAAACAACAATCGAAATTATTGTTTGCGTTTCGAACGGAAACGACACTAACTAAGCTGTCTCAATTCTCAAATGAGGCCTAAGTGCTTCAGTTTGAATCATATATGATCTATTGTTTTAATTTCTTATGAACGTTTTCTTCTTAACCAAGTAAAAGTAGGGCAATTCTTGTGATAATGACAATGTCTTGAATTTATAGCCTCAATTAAAATATAGAAAGTATTTCAACATACAAAGTTTGTTTTCTGATTTACAAGCATATCTGCATATGTAATTTCATTCAAGTGTTAATGTTAGTCTGAGTGTGTCTCTGGTTTTTCATAAATTATATTTTGTATTACTTTTTTTTTGTTTGTTTGAGCAGCTTTGTTGGCGAGAGTATGCATGACGATGGCAGTTTGGTCTTAGCATACTACAAGGAGGGCGCTACTGATCCAACTTTCTTGTATTTTGCTTATGGATTGAAGGAGGTTAAGTGCTAAAAGCAAGATCTACTTCATGCAGTTCGAGGTTTTTGAGTTCTAATATTTATCCAACTATATGTCTCGAGTTTGAACAATGTTACTTGCTATTTTCTTTATATTTGCTTACTATTCATGTCTACTTCATAGTTGTTAGGCTTATAGGTCCTTGTTTATTTGATTTTGTGATAGAAATTGTTTGGATTTTGATTCCTTGAGGTGTTTAAAGGATCATGATACATGATTTTATAATCATTGGTTTACTTTGAGATGCATTTGGTTCATTGTGCTAGAAATTTTGGAGAATGATTTTCAATTTTGGCAAAATGAGCTTTATAATCCTTGCATTACATGTCTAATCAATCAAAACATGTATTGCACTTTTTTCATAATCAATCTAATGTCTAAGGCTTCGTTTAGTACGGTTTTTTTTTTTGGAACGGGTTATCCACTCGCTATTACCCCGAAAGGGCGCATGATAGCGTGACTAATCCTCAACTAACCTAGTAGAGGCACCCAACCCAGAAACCTCTTAGCCTGCACTTGATTGGGCCCTACTTAAGAGGTGTTTTCAACCGTACTCACCCACCAACCAAGCTAAGCAACGGTAGATTAGTATGGCTTTCTTACTCCTTAAAACATCTTTTAAATACAATTTTTTTTTACGAGAAAGTTGTTTTATGAAGCAGTAAGAAAGCCGTCCCGAACGAAACCTAAAATACATAATTTTATAGGTCATTGATTCTGTTTGAGACACGCAACTGAAAAATGATCATTTAGCTTGCTCCAGTTTTCTTCACTCAGAAGTCAGAATGCTTACAATGAAACAAAATCCATAATGGGAAGGTTTTTATTCTTATAAGAGAAACTTTTATTGATGATGTTGAACACAATATATAGTAAAAAAAGCTTACAAATTTATTTCCATTCTCTATGCTTCTAAGCTTTGGAGTATAAAAGTGCTATAAGTTCTACAATCACCAGAGTTGTTTGCTTGAGCTATCTGATAATCTGATTGAAGGAAAAGATCAGTTTTCTTGCATGGGTTGCTTCACTATCATCACATTGCACCTTGCATTGTGAGCGCAGTAGTCTTTCACACTCCTAATCACAGTCCTGCACATAAATCAACCTGATTTAATAAATGGATTTGACTTAAAAAAAGATTAAGAATTTGTTCGAGGCGTCTGTAACGGTCTGTAGCTAAAGCTCCCAACCAACAAAGACGAGCTGGGCAACAAAAGATTTCAAAATATTTAAAAAGAAAACGGACCTCTTAATTGATGGATAGCCATAGCTTCCCAAAACTAGCAAATCAGCTTGAAACTTCTCTACAGCATCACAAAGAACAGTAGAGGCATCTCCTTCTATCACTTCATAGACAACTTCGCTGGTCTGTGCTTGATCAACACCAATGCCATAAATAACTATTATGTATCAAAATTTACAAAAAAAAATAATAAATTTTTATTTTCTTTATCATTGAAAATAAAATCATAATATTATAATTTTAATATTATTAAAATTCAAACTAAGTAAAAAGAATCTAATAATTTTCAATGAAAAATTCTGGCGTAATTTTTTCTGCTGATCATTAGCACTACCGTTTTGGCAACGCAGAGCTCCCGAGCCTCCGCAATTACGGACGTAGCAATTTCGCTTAAACTGGACTCCACGAAGGGCAGAATATCGACGGCTCCTTCAAGGAAAAATTCAATAATTTTAATTTATTTTTGAGCTTCTAATAGAAAAATAACTCTGTTGCGTTAGTCATTTTTTAAGCAACTTTTTAGAACAAAAATTTTAGGTTCAAAAAATTTGTGCTCTAAAAAATTGCTTAAAAAGCAATAATTCCAAACTAAATCTTAAAATTTTGTTTGAAACAGTTTTAGTAAATTTTTTTTAAGTAAGCTAAGCCGCTAGTAAAAAATAATGTATGTTTGAAAGATAACATTTTCATCACAATTTCAAACTTTTGACTTTAATTTTTTTTTTTTTTTGGAAAAAATATTCTTGAAATTGTGATTGAGAAATAAACTCTATAAATTAAAAAACATGAAAGTTTAAGGGTTTATTTGTAAAAAGAAACTTCACAATTAAAAAATTTCTAAAAAACATCAAAAAATAATAGTAAAACAAAATGATGATTGGAATCTGAAAAGCAAAGTAGGAAGAAAGTTATCTTAAATGGATATTAAGGCTACTTTATGACAGTTTTTTCTTAATGCTTTCTAAAATAGTTTTTGGTACAATAATTTCTAATTTAAAAATTTTTATATTAATATTTTTTTTTAAGAAACAGAAAAAAGCCGTCCAAAAAAAACTCTAAGTTGACTCTTTATTTGAAATAATTTTTTTTTTATTTTCTTGGGAAAAAGTAGTTAATAAAAAAAAATCTTTGAAAGAAGAGCTTTAAAAAATAAAAAAATATACTTCCTCAAATAAAACTTACAAAGAATATGAGCATCACACCAATATGTTTTTTTTTTTTTTAATGTTGAATTTATTTCAAAAAATATATAATAAATAATTAATCAAATAAATGTTATAATCTATTCATCTTGATGAGTGTAAGCAAACAGACCTAAGCCACCGAAGCCGATGACGGAGGAAGGGGTAGGTTTGGCGTAGACGACGACGAGCTTGGAAGCAGCGGCTCCAGGCTTGGCTTCGCCGGAGAAGTGGTGGCGGAGGGTCCAATCCAGCGCGTAGAAGCTTTCCTTGCAGTTAGTTAAACCCACCAAAATCACCTTCTGCTCCTTCTCTCCGGCCGCCTCCACCACGGCCATGCTTCTCTTCTCCGGCGAACCGAACGTGAAGCTAACCAGGAAGAATAACGCGCTTTATAAAAAAAAAAAATTTCCAGCGCGAAACTATGCATTGTTTTCTTCGTCCGTACGGGCCCACATTGATTTAGTGGCAATTGTATTATATATAAAGCCTTTAATAATTAACTTGATTAGCAATAGAAAAATAAAGGGAGATTTACATACATACCACTTAATACTATTCTATTTACATATTTAACATTTAAAACTTTAATATTACATACATACCACTCATAGCTCATTTTCATATCAAATATGAGTGGTAGAAATGAAATATATGAGTGGTAGGAAAGAAATATAAGTGGTATATTTGATATTAAAATAATATAGGGTGGTATGCATGTAATATTAAAGTTTTAGGTGTTAGATATGTAAATATGATATTATAAATAAAGTGGTATGTATGTAGATGTCATGATAAAAGGAGAAATTATTAGGTGCAGAGTCGTCCTGATTTGTTGTGTATTTACTAAAAATTTATATATTACATATTTGCAAATATTCAGTAAATACTCAACAAATACTCAGTTGTGAGTATTACTGAATATTTTGTGAGTATTTGATGTATATTTTGTAATTATTTGTTAATTTACTAAATATTTGTTGAGTCTTTATAAATACTCAATAAATATATATCAATCCGAATGATTCTTCCTGTTTGGACTTCGCATAGAATAATTTCCTTGTTCAAAGAATGGTCCTTGCTCAAAGCCCTTAGACCTACCTTGAGATTAGTGCAAGATTGTTTTCCTATATATTAAATATCGAAACATTTTTATGAGCATCACAATCGAAATTTTAGTTAGGATACGCATTTTTTTTAAATATTATACTTAAATATATAAAATTTGAAGTGTTAATGTCTAATTTCCCTTCATGAAATTTATTTATAATGTTAGACTTTTTTTCAAAAAAAAAAAATTATATAAGAATTTTCTAACTTAATGATGTCTTTGAATTTATATTATGATTCATATGGTTTATAATACCATATATAAGTACTAATCTCAGCATAAATTTAAGAGTGTTCAAATTCACCCTAACATAATTTATATATTACACTCATATACAAATTTGATGATTACAAAATTTATCGAGATTAAATTCAAATCAAAATATTATACGGCAAAATTTTCTCAATAATAAGCTAAAAATAAGATAATTGAACCTATGAGAAATCTCTATAGTTCTATGTAAATTTGACGAAAAAAATTGTCTCGAGATATTCTGCCGTAAAATATATAATGATAGACATCAAAGATCTAAGATTTAGACTGAAATTAGTGCATTCACTAATCTCAGCATAAACTTAAGAACTTTGATGTCTATTTTGATAAGTTTTGCATTAAGATATAAATCCTGACAAATTTTTTTCCAAAGAACATAGCAGTCTCTTTCTTCAGATATTAAAAAAAATTAGGAGACAAATTCTTCTCACAGCCATATGATAATGAAATGATGATATTTAAAATACAAACTTCTTAAATATGCCAAAACAATAGTGGGTTGTTGAATTTTAGCCTACCTATGTGAACTGTTCAGGCAAATGGATTTAAAAATTATTTAATAATTTAATGGCATGTAATTATCATAAGACTTGGTTCTATTATTTGTGAATTGTTATAAGTTCATCCAAATTTTATAATGATGATGATTTAACATAATATAAAGTTTAAATGCATAGAATAAATGTGTTATTTATTTTCAAGTTGATTATATTTCGAACAAATAGAAGAGTGCCTCTCTTATTAGGCTTCGTTTGGGACAGTTAAAACGGAGTTTTAGTACAAAATTAAAAAAAAAAACGTCCCGAACGAAGCCTTGGTCATGATTGATGGCCCAACTTGTAAATAGAATAGTTGATATTGGGTATTCGTGCTTACCATGAGATCTATATAAATTTGCTTTGAGATTTGTGAATCTTTAAAGTTCTTAGAGGTTTGAATGAACCATCATAATTTCATTAAATAATAGCTTAATATTGTTTAGAAGGTTATATAAATTACAACAAGATAATAATTATAAGTTTATCATTAATGTTATATTCTTTAAGATTATGTTTTTTTTTAGACTTAGGGTTCGTTTGGGACAGATTTTTTATTGCTTTCTAAAACGGAGTTTTACTACAAATTTTTTTATTTTTGTACTAAAACTCCGTTTTAGAATGCAATAAAAAAGCCGTCCCAAATGAAGCCTGAGAGTGAATTTAATTGCAACATGCATCTCTTATGTAAGGTTTCAAACTCAAATTCTTTTGTTTGAAAGCCTAATTAAACTCATATTTAATAAAATATGATAAGTTGTTCACAGTTTAAGACTTTTCATCATTTGTTACAACTGGTCTCAAATCTTTGTTTACTTAATTCTTGGCCTCAGTTTTTCATTTTGGTCTTTCACTCACCTTCAGCCTCTCCTTCATGCTCCCCAATGAGCTTGGTCTTCTAGCATCTAGAGATGGTAAATATCTAATCTTCTCACCCTTTAACACTCTTCTTTCGACATTATTCTAATATGTATGTCTACTTCCTCCACTTTTGTTATGTTCGCCCTCTCCTTAAACAGCTTATTTCCCTCAGTTTGCCGTCTAAGCTTTTTTTACAACAACTTTTCATGACTATTTAAAGAATATTAATCCTCTACTCGCTCCTTTTATTTTTGATTTTCTTGTCACAAAGATACGATATATTTGTATGTATGTTCGTGTGTGAATAAACTTCTTTTATTACTTCGAACTAAATTTATATATTTGTACGTGTTTTACATTTTTTGTTTGTCATTGCTTTCAAAAAAAAAATAAAAAATTTTACTAGAAAGCAATAAGAAAACTATTCCAAACGATTCCTTAAGAAGTTACTGTGATTATTTCCTAAAATACTTATACAACCATATCTCAATATAGATTAAAGCCTAGTATCATTTTAGAGTACATATCCATTATCAAATCAATACATATATAACAAGAAAGCTACAACAAATAATAATATCACTTCCTTCCTAATCAGGATCAGCATAAAGACTCCTTAAGTGTTGTTCTGGACTATGATCTCATGGATCAAAGTAGTTATTATGAAGAAACAACAACAAGCTGGTAGAGTTTATATACCCCTATTAATGGAGCTTCATATTCCTAAAATTCCTGTACATGAGGGAGTACTTGAGGAGATAGTAAGCATTGATGGCTTGATTATGGAGAGAATATGAAGTAAAAATAAGCACAACATATGTGCAATTAGAAACCAAGAAGTTTGAATCAACTGCCTTGTAGAAAGAACATAGTCTGCCACATAAATGATCATCATGTAGACTATTGACAATCCCTACATATAATTTAATCTTGTCCTTCAAATTTTGATTTTTGATTAATATAGTTGTATTACTAATTTCTCTTCTTTTATACTGGTTTGAATAAAAAATGATTAGAGGTCGAGGCAGCATCAAGGATCCTCATATCAGGGGAGGAGGCAGAGTACACATCTCTAATCAGGGATTTGGACAAAGCCAATGGGAATGAATCCCACGACTTATATATTGTTGGGAGGAGTGAAACATGCAGCAAACAAACAAGAATTAAAAAATTGTAGCAAAAATAAAGAACACCAAGATTTAATGTGGAAAAACCTAAAATCAAGAAAAAACCACGGACCCACACCACACTAAGAAATTCACTATAAAATTTTGTGAGAATTAGTGTAGATATCTCTTCTCTCTTGCTCTATATTTTTCTCTCTTATTTCTTATGCTGTTCTCACACGAACAAACAAAGAGAAAACATTTAAAAACCACCAAGGAATGCAATGCTTGATGAAAAACAAGAAAGAAATCTTTCAACCTATCTCACAGCGCCGCAACACTCAACTCTCTATCTCTTATCTGCCTGACAACGTCAAAGTCTAGAGCATTAATGTTGTGCTCTCTGACAGCGTCAGGGTATGAAGCACTACAGCGCTCAGGTACACCCAAACCCAAGTAGGGGAACGATCACCTGTAACCCCCCGACGAGCTCGACCAATAGAATTGGGGCCTGAGGCAGCAGTATAACATGATTAATCGACATAATCAAATTCCACAACAAACTAACACACACATGTACATATTATTGTTAAATTTGTGCATAAGAGTTACAATTTATAACTTTAGTTATTCATTTATAATTACAATTGCAAATACTTCACTTATTTGATCTCTATCACAGTATTAATAAGGTGGCGTTAATTATTTTATTCACAAACTATTTTAATTTACTCTCTATGGAAGCTTTAGTGACCATATGTTATCTTGTGCTTAACTTGAAGATTTGAACGATGCCTTCACACATTTGATATAAAATTTAATTTTTCTTATATGATATCCATTTATTTGACAAAGTTCTATTAACATTCTCTTAATTTTTATTTCAGCGATGCTTCTTATGGCCACCACATAAGATTACTACTGTAAGGAACGCTTGGGAGAAAATTATTATGAGACACCTCTCTCAGACTCTTAATGTTGCAGGTACAATAATTATAGAAGCATTTGTAAGTTGCATGTCATCCAATCTTTTGCGACCATTTTCTGAATTGCATGGCTGTTAAGATTTCGTATTTTGAAGTTGTATAAATCAAAATTGAGGCTTCGTTTGGGATGGTTTTCTTACTGCTTATTAGAGCGGCTTTTTAGTACAAAAATTAAAATTTTGTATTAAAAAGCTGCTTTACGAATATTGATTTTGATCATAATTTATGTTGATTGTGACCCTTACGCTCAAAGACTATGATGAGAAGGATAAATTTAGACTAATCTGTTAGACCGGTCCTGTAAGGACCGGCTCACGCATAACAGAGGCGGGATTTCTCCGCCTCCTGTACGTAGCGCTCAAGCCGACCAATCCAAAAGAGCTATTTAGGAAGGACTTTTGAGGGAGTTAGGAGGGAATTTTGAATGTAGATAGGGCTGCAAGCGAACCAAACGTTCGACGAGCT